TTACTACACACACACACACACACACACACATTTATGGACCAATGTCTCTGTGTTTTGCATCATTGCATTTCTTGTGTTCTAACGGTTTGATTCTCTGATCTGTTGTTGGCGAATCCACAGTTTTGTAAAGTCCTCCCAAATATCTCCTGTTGTGATTCAGACCTACACACAACAACACAATGAATACAAATGGATCTGAACTACAGCATTTCCAGACAGCCTCTGAAACAGCAGTTTTCGCAGTCCTTTTCCACCTCTGCATAACGTCCCATTGTGAGCAGCTGCATTAAAACAACTGCAGCCCGTCCACCGGCCTCGCCCCCTCCTCCCGCGCCGCTAAGTGGCGATAAATAAGTCTTGTGTGTGCTTGCAACACGTCAGACTAATATGTTTTCCCTGTTCGCTCGTAGGTCTCTGGGGCTGCGGCTTTCAGAATCACAGCAGGAGGAATTTCTGATCCATTTTAAGCCCTGAGGAGAATGTTGATAAGTCTGTAGATTACGAGCCAACATGTTTATGATAGTCTGTTATTCCTTAAGCTTCCTCAGGACCCAGCGCGTGCTCGGCCGACTTACTGTAACTATTTAGGTCACGGTACAAACACAAAGGAAAGCACTTTGTAAATCTGCAAACTAGTTCATTTGGTACTTCCTAATCTACATTACTACAATTAACTTATTAATAACAATAATAATAATGCATTGCTTTTATCTAGCGTGTTCTGGACACTCAAAGAAGCTTCACATTATTCATTCTCTCCAAACACGGAGGTGATAAACTACTATCTTAGCCACAGCTGCCCTGGGGCACACTGACAGAAGCGAGTCAACCAGTCTGTGCCATCGGCCCCTCCCACCACCGCCAACCATTCACACACACCACACTCATTTTAGGCAATGTGGGGGAAGTGTCTTGCCTAAGGACACAGAGATAGTTTGGCACTTTACAGCTGCCCCACTGTGGCACCTGATGTTCCCAGAGGTCTCCCATCACAGGACAAACCAGGCCCTGCTCTGCTTAGCTTCAGAGGTCTGACAGGATCTGGCTTTTCATAATAGGTCCTACATCCTTAGTGTTTGATATTCATCCATGCTAATTGTTATCATCCAAAATACATTAAAACAAATAAAAAAAGATTCACAAAAACAGTCGGTGTTATGCCCAAACTTACTTGTAAATGTATAGGTGCACTTTATTGATCCTCTGCATTTGACCCGTCCTGATGCCACTAGGGCCTCTCTCAGGAGCAGTGGTCGCCGTAGTAACAGCGCCCAGGAACTCATCTCAAGGCAAGTCAAGTTAATTTTCTATAGCACAATGCAAACACAAGGAAACTCAAAGTGATGAACAAAGCAAGAAGTTGTACGCACATCGTCAGAGAAGTGGCTTGTCTCACATTTTCTGGAAGATTGTTCCAGATTTTAGCTGCATGAATCTGAAATGCAGCCTCCTCATGTTTAGTCCTGACTCTGGGACCAGCAGGAGGCCAGTCCATCCTCAGAGGTTGATACTCGGCTTGGTCAGGACCAGAGCTGGAGGATATTTTCTTTCGCACATGTTTTTAGTGGTAGGAGAGATCGGAGTAATGGCAAGTTGTGTTTTTTCCCGCGTGGACACATTAAATTTTTTGGATTAAAAATGAAAGCACAGATAAAGTAAACAATATCATTTACCAAAAAAGACATGCTTTATTGACACGAAGCCAGATAGAGTGCTCTTTTTAGCTTATAACCTGACGGAGCTACCCTGAATAGTTTATTACCTGAACGTGAAAGTGCTTTGGTTAGCATTCAAGGATATGATTTACTCAAGAAACATGTTTGTCTATTGACGACTTTTGCTTGTGTTCAATAACAACGTTGCACTTGCTATCATGATGCAACGCTGGGTACTGCAACGCTCGGTCCTTTGCCAATATTTTTCAGCAAATGTGAAGGATTTCTGTCACACATGTCGCTGCTGTGTGCACTCTCCCGGAACTGTGCAGCTTGGGTCACCTGTTTCCACCCGGACCACAAACACAGACAGACCGTCGGCAACAACAAGGGCTAAAACTGCCACATACTACTTATTTGTTTCTGTAAATTTGCGGAAAAGTTTAGATGAAGTTGCAAGGTCGCACTGATTTTGCAGAGTTTGCTTGATTTTGTGTTAAAAGTTTGCGATCGAACATAACGAGATCCTGGAGGGACTGATGTGTCGGGGTCTTTTACACTTTTTTAGCTCATTCATCCTCAACAGAAAAGTATAGTATTTCTGCCTTTTTCTTTTGAACTGCATATTGATAAATGCAAACAGTGAGAAGAAACGAAACGCCAAAATCCACGTTTTTTTTTTTTGTAATGACTTTAAAATCAGCGCATCTCGAACACACACTAATCTCTAATCTCTGCTTCGTTCTTTCTCCAAAGCCTCATTCTTCAGACGCAATAATCGTCAGTAAATGTCTGCGTTTGCTGTAAAGACGTCAGGACCGTCAGACTCACGCACTACAAGCTCAGGAGGCATTCCACTGACACACACACACTTAATACACACACGCACACACTTACTACAGACATACACAACTTAATACAGACATATACAGCCACACACACCCACACACGCACTTAATACAAAGACGCACATATACTTACTACAGACACAAACACACACACTTACTACAGCCACACACACACACACACACTTACTACAGCCACACAAACACACTTACTACAGCCACACACACACACACTTACTACAGACACAAACACACACACTTACTACAGCCACACACACACACACACACTTACTACAGCCACACAAACACACTTACTACAGCCACACACACACACACTTACTACAGCCACACACACACACACTTACTACAGCCACACACACATACACTTACTACACACACACACACACACACTTACTACAGCCACACACACACACACACTTACTACAGCCACACACACACTTACTACGCACACTTACTACAGCCACACACACACACTTACTACAGACACACACACACACTTACTACAGACACACACACACACACTTACTACAGACACACACACACACACTTGTTACTACAGACACACACACACACACTTACTACAGACACACACACACACACACTTACTACAGACACACACACACACACTTACTACAGACACACACACACATACACTTACTACATCCACACACACACACTTACTACAGACACACACACACACACTTACTACAGCCACACACACACACACTTACTACAGCCACACACACATACACTTACTACACACACACACACACACACACTTACTACAGCCACACACACACACACTTTACTACAGCCACACACACACTTACTACGCACACTTACTACAGCCACACACACACACTTACTACAGACACACACACACACTTACTACAGACACACACACACACACTTACTACAGACACACACACACACACTTACTACAGACACACACACACACACTTACTACAGACACACACACACACACACTTACTACAGACACACACACACACACTTACTACAGACACACACACACATACACTTACTACATCCACACACACACACTTACTACAGACACACACACACACACTTACTACAGACACACACACACACACACTTACTACAGACACACACACACACACTTACTACAGACACACACACACATACACTTACTACATCCACACACACACACTTACTACAGCCACACACACACACTTACTACAGCCACACAAACACACTTACTACAGCCACACAAACACACTTACTACAGCCACACACACACACTTACTACAGCCACACACACACACACTTACTACAGCCACACACACACACTTACTACAGCCACACAAACACACTTACTACAGACACACACACACACACACTTACTACAGCCACACACACACACACTTACTACAGCCACACACACACACACACTTACTACAGACACACACACACATACACTTACTACATCCACACACACACACTTACTACAGCCACACACACACACTTACTACAGCCACACAAACACACTTACTACAGACACACACACACACACTTACTACAGCCACACACACACACACTTACTACAGCCACACACACACACACTTACTACAGACACACACACACATACACTTACTACATCCACACACACACTTACTACAGCCACACACACACACTTACTACAGCCACACAAACACACTTACTACAGCCACACACACACACTTACTACAGCCACACACACACACTTACTACAGCCACACAAACACACTTACTACAGCCACACACACACACTTACTACAGCCACACACACACACACTTACTACAGCCACACACACACACTTACTACAGCCACACAAACACACTTACTACAGACACACACACACTTACTACATTCATACACACGACACATTACAGACGTACATTCCCACACACAATTACTACAGGCATACACATGCACACACACACGCACTTATTATGGACGTACACACCCAAAGACAATTACTACAGCCATGCACACACACACGTACACACACACTCTTACTACACACACACGTACACACACACACTTACTACACACACACACTTACACACAAACACCGAAACACAGCGTGACTTGTGTCTCTTTGATGTCCTCTTTAGCCTTTGATTTATGGCGCGTGTCGTTATCATTAGCTTCTCTTTTTGGGATTGTGTGTGTGTGTGTGTGTGTGCGTGTGTGTGTGTGTGTGTGTGTGTCTGTGCTTGTGTGTGTGAGATAGCTTTTGGGATTGTGCGTCTCTGGTGCTGAGTAAGGAGGGATGACGAGATAAGTGTCGGGGTAAAACAAAGGCCAAGGCTGCGCCTAAGACACACACAAAAGCCTTTTGAAGTTGTGAAACTGTCCATTGTGGAAGAGCCCCCCCCTACACACGCGCACACACACACACACGCGCGCACGCACACACACTGAGGTGAAGCAGTGTGTGGTGACATCACTGCAGACATGCGGTTTCCTCTGTGTCGTGTCACTGACAAACTTGACAACTTCATTAAACTCTCACAAAGTAGAGACAAGTTTAAGATGTACTAAAATAACATAACTCTAGCTTTAGCATAATAAAGAAGCTAGTATAAAATCTCTAACTTAAGCAGACCAGAGCACCCAGAGGAAACCTATGCAGACACAGGGAGAACATGCAAAACCCACTCAGAAAGGCCCTGTTTCGACTGGGATTCAAACCTGGTACCTCCTCGCTTTGAAGTGAGAATGCTAACCACTCAGCCGCGCGTTAGATGTCTGTTAATGTGAAATCCGCAGTAAAGAAATGTTTTCATGTAGCAGTATTATTGTTGCTGTTTAGTATTTGTATTGCACGTTTTTTAAATACATTTTTATGGCCCAAAATGATACATGTTTTTACTTATACACTTGTGCTATAGCCTTGGGTCAAAATGACCCATCACAGATGATTCAAAGTAGAAGAAAAATACCATAATTAGGGTCTAAAAGGGTCTAAATGACTCAAAGAAGATAGAAAACATCATCAAAATTCAGCAATTATTTTGTTTTGGGGTATTTTTGGACTTTTTTTTTTAGTCTGGACGTGTTATTCTGAATCTGTGTTGTGTGTCTGTGTTGTGTGTCTGAGTCTGTCGCCTGTCTGTGTGTAATGAGGGGCTGCTGCTGTGTGCTCAGACGTCTCATTACCTCAGTCCTCCTCCTGTCATCTCTTTGTGTGTGTCTCTGTGTGTGTCTCTGTGTGTGTCTCTGTGTGTCTCTGTGTGTCTCTCTCTGTGTCTCTGTGTGTGTCTCTGTGTGTCTCTCTGTGTGTCTCTGTGTGTCTCTGTGTGTGTCGCTCTCTGTGTCTCTCTTTGTGTCTCTGTGTGTGTCTCTGTGTGTCGCTCCGTGTGTGTCTCTCTGTGTGTTACTCTGTGTGTCTCTCTGTGTTGCTCTCTGTGTTGCTCCGTGTGTTGCTCTCTGTGTTGCTCCGTGTGTTGCTCTGTGTGTGTTGCTCTGTGCTGTCGGAGCCGTGAGGAGGAGTAAAAATGCTGTTACATGTGGTTTTGTCATTAAATAATTGTAGGTTTGTTGAGAAAAATAAATGTCTGTCAAAAAACGTCACTGAACCCATAAATCTTAATTGTAGAGCGTCTTTCTTACACAGGGCAACACAAAACTACACAGAGAGAGAGCTACACAATCCACATCACTCACGACACATCACGTAAAACACCAAAATCACCAAAGTAAACGAAAACACTCAAATCACACAGATTTTTATGTTTTAGTCACGGATCCCACAGGATAAATTTGTGTTTCGAATTTTGGTCTGAATAGCCCCAAGTTTTCACCGGCCCTGTACTAGGCTCCTCTCCTTCTCCCCCTACTGTACTCTACCCTGCTCTACCCTACTCTACTCTACTCTAATCTACTCTACTCTAATCTACTCTACCTAACCCTACTATATCCTTCTCTACTCTACTCTACCCTAGTCTCCTCTATCTTACCATACCCTACCCTACCCTTCCCTACTCACCTCTACCATACCCTACTCTACACTACTCCACTCTACCGTACTCCTCGCTACCCTACCCTGCTCTACCCTACCCTACCCTACCGTACCCTACCGTACTCAACAATACTTTACCTCTATGTTTTTCTGTATCGGTCCCTACTCAAATAAACCAAAATCTTCGCTGTTAGCCCTTCCCTCTTGAGCTTTATGGAGCTAGTGTGTTAGCATCATCCCTCTGTAAACAGTCTGTGATGTGACGCCTGTGTCTCTGACGTCTGTGTGTCTGACGCCTGTGTCTCTGACGCCTGTGTCTCTGACGTCTGTGTGTCTGACGCCTGTGTCTCTGACGCCTGTGTTTCTGACGCCTGTGTTTCTGACGCCTGTGTGTCTGACGCCTGTGTCTCTGACGTCTGTGTGTCTGACGCCTGTGTCTCTGACGCCTGTGTCTCTGACGTCTGTGTGTCTGACGCCTGTGTCTCTGACGCCTGTGTTTCTGACGCCTGTGTTTCTGACGCCTGTGTGTCTGACGCCTGTGTCTCTGACGTCTGTGTGTCTGACGCCTGTGTCTCTGACGCCTGTGTTTCTGACGCCTGTGTTTCTGACGCCTGTGTGTCTGACGCCTGTGTCTGACGCCTGTATCTGACGCCTGTGTCTCTGACGCCTGTGTTTCTGACGCCTGTGTGTCTGACGCCTGTGTGTCTGACGCCTGTGTCTTGACTGACGCCTGTGTCTGACGCCTGTGTCTGACGCCTGTGTCTGACGGTTGTATCTGACGCCTGTGTCTAACGCCTGTGTCTCTGACGCCTGTGTGTCTGACGCCTGTGTCTCTGACGCCTGTGTCTCTGTTGTACAGGTGCAGGACATGGATCAGAAGATGGACAGCGTGTTGCGGATCCTGAAGGAGCAGTTCCATCCCGGCCCCAAACCTGAGCTGATGTCACAGCCGTCCATGCGCCGCGTCACCATCCAGAAACGCATGGGGGCCAGCATCGACGAGGGCCCCTGATGTCTCCGTCTGATGACATCACAACCCAGAGACAATTACAGGAGAGAGACTCGTATGTACAGACCGCGGCGCTCAAAAGTCTTCCAGAAATCTCACCTCCCTCGTCCCTAGAACCCGTTGACTTTTGATTTGTGGAACCAGGAAAGACTTGGACTGAAGGATCTGAATGCGCTGGACTTTGGCGCAGGATTAAGATTCAGATTAAGATGAGAAGATCCTGTATTCGTCCCACAGTGTGGAAATGTCAGTGTTGCATCAGCGGTTACAGAACAGTAGCATGAGGAGCACACAGCACAAGATACATGAACAATAAGTCTAAACAAGAATAACATCAAATCTCCAACTTTAGCAGAATACAGAAGACAGTATAAAAAAAGGCACAAATAGTTTGGTTTGAAGCTTTCATTAGTCTCGGCCTCTCTCTCTGGTCTCTCTCTCTGGTCTCTCTCTCTGGCCTCTCTCTCTGGTCTCTCTCTCTGGTCTCTCTCTGGTCTCTCTCTCTGGTCTCTCTCTCTGGCCTCTCTCTCTGGTCTCTCTCTCTGGTCTCTCTCTGGTCTCTCTCTCTGGTCTCTCTCTCTGGCCTCTCTCTCTGGCCTCTCTCTCTGGTCTCTCTCTCTGGTCTCTCTCTCTGGTCTCTCTCTCTGGTCTCTCTCTCTGGTCTCTCTCTCTGGTCTCTCTCTCTGGCCTCTCTCTCTGGCCTCTCTCTCTGGTCTCTCTCTCTGGTCTCTCTCTCTGGTCTCTCTCTCTGGTCTCTCTCTGGTCTCTCTCAGATCCCTTGCACTGGTCTCTCTCTTCTCTCTCTCGCTCTCTTCCAGAACAGCCAAAAAGCGCTAAAATGTGCTGGACTTTCAGAAGCACGAATAGCTAAAAATTATATTTCCGTTGTTCTGGTTTCGAAGCTTTCAACAAGATTTCCAAATTCAGGGCCCCACTTCTACACATACACACACACATACCTACACACACGCACACACACACATACCTACATACACGCACACACATACCTACATACACACACACACACTACTTCAGGCTAATAATAAAAAGAGACGTTACCGACGGCGACGCATTCCAGACCTCCAAATATTATTCTAAAGCAAACTAAGTCCATAATGAAGTCGTAACACAATCAAAGCAGTGGAGGTTCCCCAAAGACGCAGAGTAAAGATGGCGGGCGCGGCGAGGGCGTTCCACGGAGCCCTGAGAGCGCCCTGGCTCCGCCCACACCCACCGCCCGCCATGGCCTCGCACACCAGACCCAGCCCCACCACACTCCTGGATGTTTGTTAGTACTGATCCAATAACACGGGCAGGAAAGAGGAGATCTGTGTGTGTCTCTCTGCTCTCTCTTTAGTCTCTCTCTGCTCTCTCTCTGCTCTCTCTTTAGTCTCTCTCTGCTCTCTCTTTAGTCTCTCTCTGGTCTCTCTCTGCTCTCTCTTTCTGCTCTCTCTTTAGTCTCTCTCTGCTCTCTCTTTAGTCTCTCTCTCTTTGGTCTCTCTCTGCTCTCTCTTTAGTCTCTCTCTGCTCTCTCTTTAGTCTCTCTCTCTTTGGTCTCTCTCTGCTCTCTCTTTAGTCTCTCTCTGCTCTCTCTTTAGTCTCTCTCTGGTCTCTCTCTGCTCTCTCTTTCTGCTCTCTCTTTAGTCTCTTTCTGCTCTCTCTTTAGTCTCTCTCTGCTCTCTCTTTAGTCTCTCTCTCTTTGGTCTCTCTCTGCTCTCTCTTTCTGCTCTCTCTCTTTGGTCTCTCTCTGCTCTCTCTTTCTGCTCTCTCTCTGCTCTCTCTTTAGTGTCTCTCTGCTCTCTCTTTAGTCTCTCTCTGCTCTCTCTTTCTGCTCTCTCTCTTTGGTCTCTCTCTGCTCTCTCTCTCTGCTCTCTCTCTTTGGTCTCTCTCTGCTCTCTCTTTCTGCTCTCTCTCTGCTCTCTCTTTAGTCTCTCTCTCTTTGGTCTCTCTCTTTGGTCTCTCTCTGCTCTCTCTTTGGTCTCTCTCTCTTTGGTCTCTCTCTCTTTGGTCTCTCTCTGCTCTCTCTTTAGTCTCTCTCTCTTTGGTCTCTCTCTCTTTGGTCTCTCTCTGCTCTCTCTTTAGTCTCTTTCTGCTCTCTCTCTGCTCTCTCTTTAGTCTCTCTCTGCTCTCTCTTTCTGCTCTCTCTTTCTGCTCTCTCTCTTTGGTCTCTCTCTGCTCTCTCTTTAGTCTCTCTCTGCTCTCTCTTTAGTCTCTCTCTGCTCTCTCTTTAGTGTCTCTCTGCTCTCTCTTTAGTCTCTCTCTGCTCTCTCTTTCTGCTCTCTCTCTTTGGTCTCTCTCTGCTCTCTCTTTCTGCTCTCTCTCTGCTCTCTCTTTAGTCTCTCTCTGCTCTCTCTTTAGTCTCTCTCTGCTCTCTCTTTCTGCTCTCTCTCTTTGGTCTCTCTCTGCTCTCTCGCTGGTCTCTCACTCTCTTGGCTCTCTCTCTGGTTTCATGTTGGTCTCTCTCTCTGGCCTTTCTCTTGTCACTCTGGTCTCTCTCCCTGGTCTCTCTCTGGTCACTCTGTTTGTTGGTACTGATCGAATAGCGCGGGCAGGAAAGGGGAGATTATCAGCTGGAGGGGCATACAGGAAAAGAAAACTGAAGTAAAAATATGTGACTGGCACAAAGACGGCTAACGGCAGCTAACGGAGGCTAACAAAGGCTGACGGAGGCTAACAAAGGCTAACGGAGGCTAACAAAGGCTAACGGAGGTTAACGGAGGCTAACAAAGGCTAACGGAGGCTAACGGAGGCTAACGGAGGTTAACAGAGACTAAAAACTAACAACATCATTCATATGGAGTGTGAAGAGAGCTGTGTGTGTGCAGGGCTAGAAGAGCAAAGGTACAGATTCTGAAGGTACTGTCACATGACTTGAGTGAATGTGAATGCATTGACTTTAGTTTCCTTGATGTATAAATGTGTTGACAGTAAACAGTGGCATTACGAAAGCTGGAGTCCAGTGGTCCCTGTGATCCCTGTGGTCCCAGTGGTCCCTGTGGTCCCAGTGGTCCCTGTGATCCCTGTGGTCCCAGTGGTCCCTGTGATCCCTGTGGTCCCAGTGGTCCCTGTGGTCCCAGTGGTCCCAGTGGTCCCTGTGGTCCCAGTGGTTCACCTGTCGCTGTTTTGCATAATTTTTTCACAGGGTGTTTCTCATGCACCGTCTGTAAACTGATTCGTTCGGAGACTCTCTCTCTCTGGTCTCTCTCTGGTCTCTCTCTGGTCTCTCTCTGGTCTCTTTATGGTCTCTCTTTGGTCTCTCTTTGGTCTCTCTCTGGTCTCTCTCTGGTCTCTCTCTGGTCTCTCTCTGGTCTCTCTCTGGTCTCTCTATGGTCTCGCTATGGTCTCTTTGGTCTCTCTCTGGTCTCTCTCTGGTCTCTCTCTGGTCTCTCTCTGGCCTCTCTCTGGTCTCTCCCTGGTCTCTCTGGTCTCTCTCTCTGGTCTCTCTCGCTCTGGCCTCTCTCTAGTCTCTCTCTCTCTGGTCTCTCTCTGGTCTTTCTCTGGCCTCTCCCTGGTCTCTCTCTGGTCTCTCTCTGGTCTCTCTCTGGTCTCTCTCTGGCCTCTCTCTGGTCTCTCCCTGGTCTCTCTGGTCTCTCTCTCTGGTCTCTCTCGCTCTGGCCTCTCTCTGGTCTCTCTCTCTGGTCTCTCTCTGGTCTTTCTCTGGCCTCTCCCTGGTCTCTCTCTGGTCTCTCTCTGGTCTCTCTCTGGTCTCTCTCTGGTCTCTCTCTGGCCTCTCTCTGGTCTCTCCCTGGTCTCTCTGGTCTCTCTCTCTGGTCTCTCTCGCTCTGGCCTCTCTCTAGTCTCTCTCTCTGGTCTCTCTCTGGTCTTTCTCTGGCCTCTCCCTGGTCTCTCTCTGGTCTCTCTCTGGTCTCTCTCTGGTCTATCTCTGGTCTCTCTCTGGCCTCTCTCTGGTCTCTCCCTGGTCTCTCTCTGGTCTCTCTCTGGTCTCTCTCTGGTCTATCTCTGGTCTCTCTCTGGCCTCTCTCTGGCCTCTCTCTGGTCTCTCTCTGGTCTCTCTCTCTCTCTGGTCTCCCTGCCTCTCATTTAACAGTACATGCACGGCTTTTGACAGCTGCAGCAGCGCTCAGACCAAACCAACAGGTTTTTCATATCTCTGGCCTCTCTCTCTTCAGCAGTCGTGAGTTCAGGTGGTTTAAAAACTGTATAAAGTGTGTGTGAGGGTTTTACCGCCTTAAACACACAGCTGCTACTTCACAGATTTCATTTATTCAGTTGATTTCAGTTATTTGTTTAGAACACTTTCCCCGTGATAAACCAGGGACCACTGCACCTAACTTTGATTTTGATTCTATATAATTAAATCCATGTAACTAGTTTGGGTGTATCACATGCATGTACTGAATGTTTTGGCCTCTGTTATCTTTGTATCGACTTTTTAAAGCAGAAAAGTGAAAAAGAGAGGACCCCCCTCTCTCGGCCAATCAGCTCTCAGCGTGTGAACCATCAAATGTCGTAGATGGTGAGATAAACATGTCCTGGTCTGATTTGTTCACGCTTTAATGTTACGTTAGGACGAGTTATGTAACCCAGCTGAAAATGCTGAAATGCAAGAAAAACTCTACTCTATTCTACTCTACTCTTCCCTACTCTACTCTATTCAACTCTACTCTACTCTACTCTACTCTACTCTATTCAACTCAACTCAACTCTACTCTACTCTACTCTATTCAACTCTACTCTATTCAACTCTACTCTACTCTATTCTACTCTATTCTACCCTACTCTATTCTACTCTACTCTTCCCTACTCTACTCTACTCTATTCAACTCTACTCTATTCTACTCTACTCTATTCAACTCTACTCTACTCTACTCTACTCTACTCTACTCTATTCAACTCTACTCTACTCTATTCTACTCTATTCTACCCTACTCTATTCTACTCTACTCTTCCCTACTCTACTCTACTCTATTCAACTCTACTCTACTCTACTCTACTCTACTCTACTCTATTCAACTCAACTCTACTCTACTCTACTCTACTCT